CTCTTTCTTGCTGTTACCTAGCAACTAATCAACTAGACGAAGCAGATGGTAAAAAGAAGCAGATGATAAAAAGAGATCCATATCTGCTGGGAAMCCTGTGTTTCTAGCCGTCACATGCAGGGACACTACTACCTATCCACGAAGGGATGAATATCTGTACAATGAGAACCCTGTGTTTCTAGCTGTCAYGTGGACACTACGTACTACCTCACTACTACCTATCCGTGAAGGGATAAATATCTGTACAATGGGAACCCTGTGTTTCTAGCTGTCACATGGACACTACGTACTAGGGGATGAATATCTGTACAATGGGATCCCTGTTTATAGATTGTATAGTGTTTATAGATGCCATCTGGCAGTCGGATGAAGCGCCTCTTAAAATTAGACCCATTCATATCTGTTCGTATGTGTTCATAGTTGTCCTTTAGAAATCAGATAAATCAGAGGACRATGTGATATCCATATCCGTACGTTGGGATCCCTGTGTTGCATCTATCTCATTGCATTCACTGTTCTCCATATCTTCCACAGACTCGTTAAAGTAGCGCTCAAACCACACCCTCCTCTTGGAGGTACTGGAAAGACCACGGTATTGCAGATACGACAGGGTTGAAGAAGAATCAATAGTGGAAAGGGACGCTGCRGGACTTTCTGAAAAATGCTCGTGTTCTCTGCTTGTGTTTTCCCTTCTCGCTTTATCTTCCTCGTTGACTGAGTTAGGTTTTAGCATTGGGCGAATTTTAGCTTTAACAGAAGAGAAAAAGAGAGAGAAAGATAGCAAGTTAGTTGTAAGAAAGAGAAGACGTAAGAGCAGTATCCGTAATAATGACGGACAAAGATAAGAGAATATTTCAGCCTTAAAGTAGACTAAAAGAACTCTACTCCTTTCTCTGATTAGTGCTTTGTTTTCAGAGTGTTTGAAACTTTAAACCAGAGGGGAGATAGAGGAGAGGTTGAAATTGGGCGGTCAATTACGACCTATCATGGCTTTACAGCTGCAAGCCAGAACAATTTATGATTCTTTCAAAGAGAATGTGAAAAGAGAAAAGACCAGGAGAATGAAAGTGTATTTGGTATTGCTGTGTTCAATCAGCTATTAAAGTCTTTGAATCTCATATCTGCCATGAATGGTGGCCAAACACTGACCACCATGTGCTGTCAGCCAGAAAGAATATTATTATATTGAAACTTGCCATTGATTCAGCTGATGATCATTTTGCATGAGAGGAAATGACGTCAAGTGAATTCCAGCGATAAAATTTATAGTGAGTAMGACTGGAGATTACATAACTCACTTCTGACCCCTTATCTATGAACGTAACGCACCAAGAAAAGTAATTTCGAAAGTGAAAAAAAAGAGAAAGAAAGCAAATAATTTTTTGTGTCACCAGTATGTAAGGCTGTCCAGAAGCACTAAACCCGATGTCACTAGCTTGATTTACTGGCTTGACAAAATAACCCCTTTWGGGGAAGAACCCTTCCTGTCATTAGATGGATGAAAAAAGAAAAGAAAGTCATTGTCGTGGTCACTACTGTGCACAGCAACAACTGGCAAGGACATTTGAACTTTCCAATTCAGGCTTCAAGTAACAAGCAAATCAAATCTCTCAATAAATTTTTTTCCATCTTAATGAGGGATTGCTGCATACTCGATCCAGGATATATATGCAACTAGCGAATTGTACGCTCAATACGATGGTAAAAAAAGTTAAAATAAACTTTTTCATAATTAAAGGTTAACATTCCATTATAAAACAGTATTTTTAAAGAACATTTCTTGCCTGGATGAATCTGAAATATGCCACTGATATCAAAGATAATATTTATATGTATCAAATTATAGAGTAATTTTATCAACAAATAATCAAGGTCATAAAAGTACGATTCTCTTAACTAAAAAAGCCATGACAAAATGACAAAATGACAAAATCGGAAGCATTAGAATACGCCAGTTGGACGAGGTTCAAGTAACTCATACAGATTTTGAAAGCAAGGCACTTCAAATTCTTGAACAAATTTAAAATGATTTCTTGACTTTTAAGGTCGAATGTGTTATCATCGATGACCATTCAACATGCCATGACCAGTTAATATATGTATAATTTATATAAATATACCATGCACATACAGAATAACAAGTGTATTACTTACGTTTTTTCTTGTCGACTGGTGGAGGTATCTCATCCCAACGTTTCTGCACCATAGCAACCACACGTGGATCTGCATAAGCCTTAGCAACGTCTAGAGCAGTGTGGCCTTTCTTATTGGGTAACTGTATCTTCGCTCTAAAAAAATGTTAACAATCACTTTAATAGTTACCACTTCCTTTTGTCCCTGCCGCTTTCAAAATCACATCTAAGTTGGATCTACATTGTTTTCAAGAATACTGACCCTTTAGCTATAAGGAACTCTACCGCTTCTTCTTTAGAACTCTCTATTGCCCTCATCACTGGGGTGCCACCATTAATGGTCTGTGCGTCAAGCTCGGCACCTCTTTCTRAGAGTAGCTTGATGACATCGAGTTGTCCTGCATGGCACGCATGGTGCAGTGGAGTCCACTTGAAGTTATCTCGTCCAWTGACATCTGCCCTGTTGATATTATTATCCATTATTAATGATATTTTTTATTTTTTCACTTTTATCTTGTTTTTCAACTTTTTTTGTTGTTTAGCAACTGTTATCCAAATATATGCACCACAAGTAAACTGCAGTCAGAGATACTGCCCATTATAGCCCATCAGGGGCCAGCTGTAGGAAGTGTGAATAGCATTATCTGATGGATAGAGCTATCCATCCTAGCACGACCAGGCCCAAAATGCATAATTTTTAGAATAATGGACTGGAAAAAAGAACAAGCAGTTTTTKCTTACCCTAAGTCAAGTAGGAACTTAGCCATATCTAGGTTTCCATGAGAACAAGCAGCCATCAGGGGTGTCTTGTAGTACTTATCTCGTTGGTCTACAGGAGTACCCTTGATGAACGCTGCTTTAAGAGTCTCTAAATCGCCTAATTTAGCAGCGTCACTAATATTCAAATATGAAGTTTCTGTAATCAAGAGAAATCATATAATAATCATATAATAACTTCAATATTGCATATTAGTAAAATAAATATGGTACATMTATCTATCTTGCTTGGGGTAACCTGATTGTTTGTAGCAGATGTCTGGGTTACATTGCTTGGGTTACATTATGCAGGAATTAGTCCCACTTAGGTAMCCACTGGGAAATTTGGGTAATTTGTTTTGGACACTTTATTTAGTCAAATAGGTGTACGTTTTCTGGGGTACCTTGTTTGGGTACTTCGTTTGGGGGTTATTTGTTGTGGTTAAATATCATCATATCAGTAGTTGCATAACCTGTTTTCAAAGTGCCACTTAATATTCGCCATTTTGGGTGTACATTTTGGGTGTATGTATTTTGGGTGTATGTATTTTGGGTGTATGTATTTTGGGTGTATGTGTTTTGGGTGTATGTGTTTTGGGTGTATATATTTTGGGTGTATATATTTTGGGTGTATATTTTGGGTGTACATTGTGGGTGTACATTTTGGGTGTTGTATTGGGTGGTAATTTGGGATTAGTACTATAATGATTGGGGTACCCCCTGGTACCAGCTCACCTGGGAAATTAAGATACCATGCTGAATCATCTTGTATAGGATGAGATGGTGGATTATCACGGTCAAATCTAGAATTATCTGTAAAATGCTGCAAAGAAATGAAACTATTGAACACGAAGGTCGATCAAAACAGGTGATTGATTTTAGAGATTACAGCGATTTTCTACATTTGGATAATATTTATCTGTGATTTAAAAGACTCAGAATGATGATAGCTTGTTTTGACTCACCACATATCTTTCTATCAAATCCTGTGGTGGCCCTCCGTGCTTTGTTCTGGGGCCATCAGGAGCTGTACATATTGGAAGAGGAACTTTCGTTTTACCCTGTGGAATAAGAAAGTGTAATAAAGCTATTACAACAAATTCATGAATAAAAAAATGCAAGTTTTTTTAGATTGACACATCTTTTCTTTTCTTATCAGTGCTATTGATCTTATTACAGTCATTTCTCTGACAATGAGTCTTTGTAAGGATTTTGGTAATATTGTTATGATAGCTGCATGTATATTTAGACAATAAAATGCAATAATTTAATTAATTTAGTCTTATAAATACTTGCCTTCTTTTTCTTTCCTTTTTTGCCTCCTTTCTTCTTCTTTTTCTGTATTAAAAAAGTTTTRAATGCAATCAAATTTAAATTAGCAMCTAATCTCATTTCATGTCATCCAATTTTGTTCACTTACCTTTCCAAGGGTTACCATAAATTGCTATAAAATAACAAAAAAAGATATGTCAGTTAAACTGTGTCTAAGCTTTGTTCATTCTCAAAAAGGCTTGCAGTTGTAGTGCAAAAGGAGATAAGAGAATATCTCCTAAGATCAAATTTGAAAGGAAAACAGCAGTCGATTTAGCACTAAATATTAATATGACAAAAGTATCAGTCTTGTTTGTTGTAATACACTGTCATATCTCACCTTGCCAATAATTTTCTTACAGCTAATAAACAATCCATAATCTACTTTATCTTCCTTGCTTGGATCATGTACGACTGCTATTTTCTCCAAGTCTGAAACTTCTACAGGACAATCTAAAAACAAATACACAAATCAATAGCTGGCAGATTATATGATTCCTATAGCACTCTTATTCCATATGTACATCGATCAAATGTGCCTTACAATGAGTGTATGAATATAAGAGGTAGGTTAGTAGGAGGAGTAGGCAATGCAGGTGGTCACTGCAAAGGTTTCTTTACGTCCTCAGTGGTTTCTTATACATCCCTCCAATATTGACAAGTGATGTGAATCCATTTMGTGGGCCTTTCATTTTATTAGCACAGGAAGGGGAGGGGGTGGGGGTGCAAAATCACATGGAAAGCTTTACAAATATAACCCAAAACCCCTTCATGGTAGAGGCAACAATAATTGCATAGCCCCCCTATTCATCATCCTTCAATAGTTCTCAACCCCCCCCCCCCCYCCTCAATATGTGATAACCACTTTCTCAAAATGTATGTAACCCCTCTCCCCTCCCCATGTGCTAATAAATGAAAGCCTCCTTAAAATGGTCGTCTCAGGGCTAAGTGATAATTTTTAATGGTTTGATGAGGAGTTATAAATCATCATAATCATGATGACTCATCATGCCAGGAAGCAAACGAGGCCTGATACTAGGAACAAGCAAYCTACTCTACTTACTCAGTGTCTGTAGACACACTACAAAACTCTCTTTACTAATATATCCTTTTCTATTGCCTATATATTCTATTATTCTATGATGATGGTGATACTAGACACAAGCAATCTACTTTACTTATCAGTGTCTGTAGACACACTACAAAACTCTCTTTACTAATATATCCTTTTCTATTGCCTATATATTCTATTATTCTATGATGATGGTGATACTAGGAACAAGCAAGCTACTCTACTTACTCAGTGTCTGTAGACACACTACAAAATTCTCTTTATTAATATATCCTTTTCTATTGCCGTCATCATCTTCAGGGTCAAACTGTTGAAACATTGCCAGCACCTTTGCCTCATGTTCTTGTAACCAGTCATAAAGCTATAAATACATAACATGAAGAAAAAGTACAGAAGTAMGCATAAAGTTGTTCACTTGAGATTACGTGGAAGTTTGATTGTGAAGTTAGAAACTAAGAATGATGGGTGGTCAATGAGCAACTTAGTTTCATTGTGTGCATCAGAAACCTTGACTTAATGAGGCTCTTATATCAATTATATATCAATTATTGTTTTCCTATGGGTATTAATTATCACCTGAGTAACAGAGAAAAAGTATTAAATAAATATGGATTTAAATCCAATTCTCAAGGGAATGATGGTATTTGGTCTGAGATGAGAAAACCTTACGCCCAGAGAAAATGTTATTAGAAGATGAAAAACTCCATATCATCTAAGTTAGATTATATTTATGAAAAGTTCTGCATGATTGCAAAAATTGATAAGGTCCATGAGTTTTGTTAARCACCATTAATCACTCAAATAACTACACCTTAAGCTTTGGACMTGATCAAACTTAATGTTTGTTACTTACTCTAATAGAATATGGTTCTCCAGCTTTTCCTCCGCCTTTACTAAGTCTTGCAGATTGTTTCTCAGCCTTACGACATTCCTTTATTGCCTCTTTGTGTTCATTATCTTTAGCCAAYAGTCTAGGTGTCTTCCCTTCTTTATTCTTCAGACTAGCTGGACAGCCTCTTTGTGCCAGAAATTTACATATTGGTCCATACCCTTGGGTTGCGGCATGATGTAGAGGGGTATTCCCATCCAAGGAGACTTTACCCAGGTCACTACCATATGCTGCTAATACTCTTATTACTTCAAAGTGTCCATTCAGTGCAGCTTTGTGAGCTGCATGTACATTTTCATGATCCAATACATCATGGTCGGCACCGGCCTCTAGTAAGTGACGCACACAACCAACACTACCTGAAGCTGCCGCACAATGCAGAGCAGACTGACCTGTTTTCTAGAATTAACATTTATAAAATGATATATATGTTAAATAATAATAAAAATAATAATAATGATAATGTTTATACGGAAAGCTCYCATCATGAAGGTGWTTTTCAGAGAGGTCCTGCMCTATGTAGGACCTTTAGTAGAGGTAAGTGCATTATGGCGATGTCTGATATAACTGCAATAATTTACAATAAATATCCACAACTCATCTATTGATTGGGGTGGATTCTAAAATCCCCTCAATTAACCCAAAGAAAATTCATAAAGAAAGTGTTATTTTAATGTTGGTGGTAAGTTACACTTAGCTTGTCCACGGTATCCCAATTCAAAAAAAACTTGCAACCAAAGCATGGCAAATTTTAAGTCCCTTAAATTAGCCACGTTAAAATATTACAATGAAAAACTTTTTTTTTGCATATCAAAACAACACCATTTTAGCCCATTTGGATAACATTGTCAGTAACTCATGTGTAAACAGGGAGTACAAGCAAAGCTCATGAACATCTTTAACACCAATAGAATCCATACCTTGTGTTTGCCATCAGGATCAGTGCCTGCTTTAAGCAAATCCCTAACTATATCATCTAAGCCTTCTGTTGCAGCAACGTGTAATAATGGCAGGCCTTCTAAACTCTGGCAGAGATAATATGGAAAATGCAGATTATTACTTCAGTAATTCTTTACTTAATATTAGCCAAAAATTGAAAGCTTTGCAAAGTTGAAGCTTTCCAATTTTATTCAAGTCCCAAAATTATTATTTGGCCAACATTGCAGCGATTCGSCATTCTCATTGTCTGAATCATCTCAATAAGCCTGAAGCGAGATGACGTTTTACCCCCGTCTCTAGACCATAATCCTTCTCAAACTGCTTTTGTTCTTTAATTATGACTATTGTTCCTGTATTCTGTAAGGAATCAAAAATTTTAATATGAAAGAATTTAAAAAAAACTTTTATGGTATAAAGTTGGGGGTAAAATGTCATCTCGCTTCAGGCTTATTCAATTTCTATACCTTGTGACATAAAATTATCACAACTTACCACATTATTTACATCGGCACCATTCTTAATGACAATCTTCAGGCATTCCAAATGACGCTTGGTTGGTTGTATACAGTTAAATATAATCCCCTTTCCTTCCTTGTCTGTTACTAAAAAGGGAAGAAGAAAATCATTTTTTTAATGAACCTGCCTATCCACAGGAAGCCCAACTATCGAAGTTGGGATCCCTGTTTGAAGTGCACAATAAATAGAAATTCTCAAACAATATCTGGTCAGGGAGGTGGGAAAATAGTAACTTAGATATAACATAAAGGTACTTAGACAGCTAGCTGGCTGCCGTACCTATGCCAGCAAGAGCAGATCCAGGATTTTTTTTGATGGGGGGGGGGGGAGTACAAAACCTACTTTCATTATGTGACCTCATTTTTGATGCCATACTAATATATACATACACCATATAGGCTTTTCAATTTGTGTTACTATTGGTATACATTTGACATTCAAATGATAGACAGGCATATGCCAATCATGACTTTCAGTTTAAAGGATATTACAGTATTAAGATTCTTTGTTATATATCGTATGGTTGAGAAAGGGGGGCGGGGGCAGGACCCCTCCCCTGGAACCACCCTTGGCTAGAGAACAAAGCATACACAAACAATTTATTGGGAATCAAGGGTGGTGTTAGTGGTAGTCTATTCACTTCTTGGGTCTCAGATTGATTCCCGGAGCAGAGCAGAGCATAGTTTGGAGTGAGAGGAGGGAGGGGGGGTCTAATCAGGGAGAGTCTAATCTGGAGGGTCTAATATGAGGGTCCAGGAGATATTGAGGCTCCTAAGGAAATACAGTATGATTTCAAGTGCCATGGTTTTGAGGGGCAATCCTTACATATTGGTGATCAATCCTGAAGATGTTTGATAATATTGCAGTTTCTGAGGATCTTACTTACTTGTCAAATTAGTACCAGCATCAGTCAGGAGCAACAGAGCTTGTGTGTGACCAAACTCTGCAGCACACATTGCAGGGGTCTGTCCTTTGAAGTTAATAACGTTAGGGCTTGCACCCAATGATAGCAGMAGAGATATCATTTTCTCATTATTCTTACAGGCAGCAATGTGTAACCCTGTTTCTCCATGCTCTGGCTCTGTAATGATTTCAAATACAAATGAGTCAATATTTTAAACCTTAATAGCTTTTTCGCGGCTAGCACAGCACAAATTTTTTTGAATAAACCAAAATATCCTTGAAGAGAGAGAAAACGAGTCAGGAAGCTTCACTCCAATATATTATAATTAAATCCGTTCTGAAGGGATTAAACTTTGAAAATTTATACGATTAAAATTGTGTATACAAGCTGAACCTACAAGCTAGAGACCTTGATAAGCTCAACAGCGCGATAAGAGTTTTAGATTACTAATGTTTTTTTTGTTAAATACAGTTATATTCTTTGAATCAATTTTTGCCTATATATCCTCAAGCACTAAACTTTTCAACCGCTTTTGCATTAAACTACTTTGGTGTTAAGTAATAACACTAAAATTATCATAATTACATGGTTATCAAGCTTGATAATCACAGCTTGCAAGTAGCGTTTCTTCCAAGAATAATAATTTTGGGAATTTTGGCGGTCTCAAAAAATTTTTTCTTGAGGAGAAGAATCATTATTTTTCCTTACCAGATAAATTAATTAGGTCAGGTACTCCATTAGCTACGAGTTTTTCGATTTGTTCGACGTCTTCATTTCGTACTGATTGAAGGAACTTCAAGAGTTGAAGGTATTCTAAACGCTCAATGGCAATCGGCATTTTTCACCGGACAAATTTCCCCGGCCACGAGAAYGGCTTTTAAGCTCGCCTTCAGCCACCAAAACTCTTTGAGACTTTCCTTGCTTGTAGAATAATGATTCTTGATGGGACTTTTTGAAGATTTCATTGAAAAAGTTTAAGAAATCCCAAATTCCATTGGTGTAATTGTGTCAGAGTGAAGTCCTTCGAGACCACAGCGCGTTCATGTCGTCAAGATAACATTGACAGGACATCATCCTGCGCGCTGATTGGTTCCAAATACAATGGACCTCATCCACTATTAGTACCTTATTCGTATCAACCAAAGATATCCTATCGATATTGAACCTCTACGTCCCTTCTATTCCTCTAAAAGCGTTTTGCCAAAAAGCATATTTATTTATTTATTTTCTAGTTAATTTGATAATTTCTTTCATTACGACAATTAATGGTAATTGATTATTCCCTAGAAATTTTGAATCATTTCAGACGTCTCAGTGCACGCACAAATTCGTGAAAGAGTTTTTAAAGAAATAATAAAATAATTTCAGTATTTTATATATACAAAAGATAAAATAACCCTCTATTAAGGAATATGAAATGAAGTTTGAAGCGATTAGATTTTTTTAACATTTCGGAAAGACACAGGAAGACCGCGCAACGGCTTTAAAGATTTTCCCACAATTCCTTTCTGTCCTCATTGATATCCAAGATGGCGGACGAAAGCGCGTCTGTTTATGTTGAGACGTCTATGGTAAATATCTAGTAAATACTAAACTTTTCAACCAGTTTGGAGTCAATCATAGTTCAATCTAGCTAGATTTAAGTCTTTGGTTAAAATTTCTTWAAAAATCAATTTGCATTAAGACGATGAAACATGACAGTTTGCCATGTGTTTGATACTTGCACGCGGTTTGTAACTAGTCTAGTATGTAGAGAGAGAAACTTTGTCTTTCTGACTAATTTCATTTTTGAATATGTTGGTTATCTATAAAAGATATTCAGGGCTTATAACATTAATCAGAAAAAACCTCATTTCAAGCTTTTTTGTTTTTCAGGGCAGATTTGAAGTTGAGTTGTATTGGAGACATGCTCCAAAGACATGCAAGAATTTCTTAGAACTGGTAAGTAGACCTATCTACCTTGGGCGTAATGTTACTCCAAAGGTAAGGAGGTCTATTGTTGTTCTCCCACCCCTCTGTAGAATTTGCCCCCCCTCYCTCCCAGAAAACGTGACCTACCCCTGTCTCTAAAACATTCTAGCATCTAGCATTAATCAACTAATGGCCTTTCTTAATTGTTCTATGTAGGCAAAACGAGGCTACTACAACAACTGCAAGTTTCACAGGGTAATAAAGGTAAGTTACAGATATTGATGATAATTAGAATTGAATGTTTTATATATTTTTATAGCCTTGACTGTAGATATATAGAGAAGGATAAATGTTTTTAAATGTAGTGGTTTTCAATGGTCTTTGATTAGGATTTCATGATTCAAACTGGTGACCCAACTGGAACTGGTCGTGGTGGAGCTTCTATATATGGGTATGCTTGCTATGCTTAAATCTGAATCATACACTGAATTGAAAAATAGAGTTCAATTTGCAATCCGTATTGTTCACGACTGATTAGACTAGACTTATGTTCAAGTTAAAACACATAAAAGCATTTTCAGTCTAGTCTAGTCAGTCCAGAACAATAGGTACATTCAAATTGGCAGCCATATTCTGATTTGATGTAAAGGAAATAGTATTATAGACATTACATGACATACTCTACTGAGCAACAGTAACCTATTCCTTTGATTCACTCATGCCTCACAGAATGGTTTTCAATAATCAATTATTAACTTCGGCAATCAAGGGTAGTGTAGCAGTGGTGTACTCACCATTCACCTCTGGGGTCTCGGGTTTGATTTCTGTAATTGGCATATAACATGTGAGTAGAAGTTTGTTAGGTCTTTCTCTTGATTCAAGGGGTTTTCCTCCAGGTTCTCTGGTTTTCCTCCTCTCACAATGTTCACCTAACTYTTTAGTTTAACAAAGCTTCTTACKGTGATTCAATTTATCCATAAACTCCTACTGTTTATTCAGAAACACCATCACAGTCTACACTAGTTCTCTACTAGTTATCATCCACTCGTTCACCTAACAAGCTAAATTTCAATTCAATCTGTGAATTAGCAGAGGTTATTTCAGGGTATTGATAAAATTTGAAGGGAAAGCACAAGTTATTGATTATACCTTGGCCACAGTTTGTTTAATTTTTTTCTGCTTGATTTACTCCACAGTCCAACATTTGAAGATGAAATCACAAGAGAACTTAAGCACACAGGAGCAGGCATTATATCAATGGCTAATAGGTAAGAAGGCCACTTATAATTTTGAAATTTATTTCAGCAAATCATATAATCATTCATGTAATATATTTTTTGTTTCCTTGCTTTCTAGTGGTCCTAACACAAATGGTAGTCAGTTTTTCGTAACTCTAGCTCCARTACAGTGGTTAGATGGTAAGACGTTCATGTAATTTATTTTATAATAATCAATCTTTATTCAGGAAGCCTACTTCGCATGTGTTTTACAATAGGGTCCTGCCGTATAAATAAAACTAATTTAATAATAAATCAATCTAAAGGACTAAGAAAATCTAGATATAAATATAAAAATTTATAAAAATACCCCCTCAAATCAACCATGCTAGCAGCAGGAAAACACTATTAAAGGTCAAAATGATTCAAAAACTCTTAATATGAAAACTATCTTACAATAATTAAATCCCCTACCCCTTTATAAGCTTCTTAAAAGTTGTAATAATAATAATAATAATAACGGAACTTATATAGCGCACATATCAAAATTCATGGCGCTTCACAATAAGAAATAAAATAAATACCAGACGTATATTACAATATTAATGAAATGTCATAGTTCATTGATGTTCACTTTGAACCAGAGGAGACAAAGTTCTTGAACAAATGAGTTTTCAGTTCATTTTTAAATAATTGGATTGAAGAACTTTTCCTAATTTGAAGTGGGATGTCATTCCACAGTTTAGGGCCAGCAACGTAAAAAGATCTGTCACCATAGGTCACCAGACGAGATCTTTTTTCTTCTAGATACTCCATGGTTGTAGATCTGAGAGTGCGCAAATTTTTCCTCGGTTTTATAGCATCAGCCAGGTATGGGGGAGCCATATCATGCAAGCACTTGTACACAATGAGCAATATCTTGAATATAATT